ATCATAATCATGAAAAAATAATCATAGAAACCTATGATTCCGAAAAGCGTATGGGAAACTTTTATCAGAAAGATTACATACTCACCTCTGACCTTCGCCATTTCACTTATTTTGCGTCCTTTTCACTCCCGTTATATTTTCAAGCAAAAGTAATAACATATTTGAGATCAGCAGACAAAACTCGGTCTAACAGCATACTTAACATTCGGTTTTCAAACAAACAAAATTTTATTGATAATTTTCTCTCTAGTGGGAAGACCGGACGTATATATACGTCTTCCGTCGCCAAAGGGTTAAACTACAAAAAAAAGCGTTTGTTTTGAAACCTTTAACGCGTTTTTTGTCAACTTTTTTACCCCTGGGTGTATTACGTGTCACTCTTATTAGTCATCTCCCATGTCCACGAAATCGCGATATTTTTAAGAATTAATCGCGATTCTTGAAAAATCGCAGATTAGATTCTTCTTTTTTTTAAAAATTACAATTAATTGCGGTTAAATGGTTATTGTTATTCACCATTTTCTTTTGCAGTAACGTATGTATATAAGAAATACGATTTCGACGAGAAATACACTTCTATTTAGATCATCTTTTTATTTTAGAGTAAAACGTAGTTGTCAAGTCTTCTCTGTGATCTATCAGAGCTTTAAGTCGAGAAGCCCAGTGAACAGCTGGTATCTGGGCAATGACCAAAATCGACTCGTCGGAAAGGCTCCGACTTCAGCTGGTACTAAGATCCTTGCTGAATGACGTACATGTCATTACACACAATAAACAATGAAAAAGCAGAAAAAAATATGTATTTCCTAAGATGACTTCGAAGTTATTACCAAGAAAAAAATCAATCACGATTAATTGCTAAAATCACCAAAAGATCGGCAATTAATTGTGATCAAGCGCACGATTAATCCTATGATTTTTCACGATTAATTGCCGATTTTTATGCGATTTTTAGTACATTTTTAGCATTCAATAATTCTGAATAGAAGTTTAAAATATAAACACATATTGATATATTAAATTATGTAACAATTTTTTTCATCAGAATAATTGATAGTTCTCATACACAATGAAATTATCGTAGACTGAATAAATGTAGCTCATTCAGAACACGTATTAATGATAATACTTATGATACGCATTAATGCTTATTTAAAGCACAGCTACATTACTTCAGTTTATGGCGCCATCTTTAATAACAGTACAATTCAGGCTAAAGAATGAAAATATTGTTCCCTCGAGTGTTTTTAACCATAAAGTTTTGAACAAGTGTGACAAAAATTTTTACTTTTGCAGTAGAATACACTTCATTTGTCAAAAATAAGAGCCATCTAGAGGAAACATTTTCTTCGAATGATTCATCATGATCAAAATGTTATGCACCTTTAAGGATTTATATAATTGATTTTAATCTTGCTGTTATTGATCAGATATGCAGTTTCTTCTTTTAGGTAGACAATGCATCTCTATTTAATGCGTCATGCTGAAAGTGAACAAAATGTGCATCCCGAAAATGACTCAGTTAATTGTTCACTAACTTTAAATGGTCAAAAACAAGCCGCTTCTCTTTCTGATTACTACGATCTTGTTCTCTGTTCTCCTCTGGCACGATGTCGTCAAACGTTAGAGTATGCAAATATTCATTATGATCAGTTGATTATTTGTAATCTAATTCGAGAAGTGATAACGTGTGAAACCGATCTGTTGTTTGAAAAAGAACAAGAATATGAAACTGATTTCGATGTTCAAAAACGGATTCAGCTATTGAATAATTATCTAAATGAACTAAAAGATGAAAAGAAATATAATAGGGTCCTTTTATTAAGTCATTCTGATTTGATATGGAATTTAACAGCATATGAAGTCGATGGAGAACTGTTTGGAAAATGGTTAAACAATGCCGAATGTCTGTATTGGAAAGAATTATAAAGAGAGTTTTTGTTGTTTATTATAATCAATAGGTACTAAAACACAAGAATTGAATGAAATAATAACCATTTTTTTTTATATTGGTGACGGTGTTCTGTTTTGCGATCGGTTCGTGACAATATCCTGATATACTGTGGCTGTTTTCTTTATCAGTTAAAAAGTGATGTAACTTGGAATGTTCTGATTTTAGATGTAGTATTCTTCTTTCTTCAAACAACTTACAGCTCATCATGGCAGCTACCAATACAGCTCCAGCCGAATCATTAGAAACTGTTTTCTGTAAATACTTAGATTCTTTCATGTATTGATTAAGTTATTTGGTTCTTTTTCAATTTAGTCAAAGCAACAAGCCCCATTCATAAAAGTGCAGATCCAAATTTGGTAAATTTATTTTGTTCAAAAGTTAATGCAGATCCGGAAGGCCATCAAGCAGCTATTCGGCTTATATCGCATAAAATACAATCACCACAAGAACATGAAGCACTAAGAACTTTAGAAGTAAGTTTCAGTTTGTGATATGACGGTTTGTCTATAAATACTAATAGTAGTAGCTTTGGCTTTTTACACAGTGATTGTATTTCTGTTTCTAGCTACTTGAGGTTTGTGTACAAAGTTGCGGACGACGTTTTCATCAGGAAATTGGAAAATTTCGATTTTTAAATGAAATGATTAAACTTGTATCCCCTAAAGCAAGTGGCAATACACAATCATACAATTTCAAAATACTTTTCTTGTATTTTCTTTTCTAGTATTTAGGTAACCATACATCAGATAAAGTGAAAAAGAAAGTCATTGAATTGTTGTATTCATGGACACAAGCCCTTCCCACAGAAGTGAAGATAACAGAAGCTTATCAGATGTTAAAAAGACAAAATATTGTCACAGATGACCCAACGTATGTCGATAAATGTATTCTGACACCACTACCACCACGACAAAAATCAATATTTGATGAAGATGTTGAAAAAAGCAAAGTAAGTGAAACAAATGATTGTTTGCTTCTTCCCCATAGTGTTTATTTGTTCAACAACAAACAAATCTAGTGAATTTTTCAGACTTTTTTAAGAATTTCGCACTATTTTCTTTATTTTTAGACATTACAACGATTACTAAAAAGTCGAAGACCAGAAGATTTAGAACAAGCAAATGCATTGATTAAAAATTTAGTTAAAAAGGTAACTAGTAAAAGTAATTATTTTCATCATACAAAGAATATATTCAAAGAGTCCTTTCGCTTTCTGATTGATTCCGGGTTGCTTTTAATGTTGATCATGAATCTGATATCTCTGGTGGTTTATATGCCATTAAAACTCTGACCTTTCAACCTAAAACCTTTAGAGACCATTTTTCGACAATACTGGATTGTAGAACATAGCGAGTTATATATAAATGAAACTTTTCAACGTTTTCAGTCTAAAAAGGTAAAGCAGAGTCATTAAGCTGTTGTATTCATAGACGCGAACCCAGCTTTTCGACTTAAAAAAGGCGAAAAGTGTTATTTATATATAACTCGCTATATTCTACAATCCACCATTGTCGAAAAATGGCCTCTCTAAAGTTTTGAGGATTTCTAGTGACTTTAAGTTAAAAGGCCAGAGTTTTAATGACAAAACGAAAGCAATTCTTTTGTGCTGCGTTCCACTGCAAAGTAGAAACAGCCATTTATTTTATTTATAGGATGAAGAAAAAACGGAGAAATTATCAAATCGTGTAACAGAATTAGAAAAGATCAACAATAACATACGAGTATTAACGGAAATGTTAGTGCATTATAATCACAGCTCGGTCACAGATGCTGAAAAAGAAACAATGAAAGTAAAAAGAATCGAATAACTGCTATTTCATCACGTTTTACCGATGTGTACTGTAATTTAGTATCTGCACGATGAATTAGAAAAATTACGGCCGGTACTTTATCGATTAGCATCTGAAACCGAAGATTCTGATGATGGACTAGGTATGCGTTGCAAAACGACTAAATAAAGAAAATAAGAGATTTGTGATGACGTTGCACTTCGAAAGAGAATGTAGCTAAGATTACTGATCAGCTTCAAGTTGATAGAATTTCTGTTTTAGAACTCACAGTTAGAAATTTTAGTCACACTCCCGTCACTGCTGACAAAATCTTTGGCTAACACGTCTACTTACAGCAATAACTCTCCTATCTTTACGTTGAAGTATTTGCTTTTTTAGGTGATATATTACTGGCCAGTGATGCCGTTTCACGTGTTCTTGGTCAATATGAACGTCTAGTTACACAAGGAAGTCTACTACAAAAAGACGGTATGGTTACGTAAAAAGAGATACGTATGTGTATGTTGTGTTGTGATGTGTCTCTAGATAGTGCATTACAATTGGTTGATGATATACCGTTTCTAAAACAGAGTAACACTAGTGGCAGCGCCACTTTTTCGAGTCAACAGCCAAAACCAAAAACTTTGATCGATTTTCATGAAGGGAATATCTCAGGTAGAAATGAGGTTGCACTTCTCGTTTGCATGTAGAATTTTACTCTTTTGTTTGATTTATCGTGCATGATGATATTTCTCTTACACTAATGAACTAATATTTTCTTTATGATTTGCTTAGCCGTTTAAAGTTTCTTTTTGTACATGGATTGTTTAATTTGAGATAACTTGATGCATTTATCTAATTTCTTTATTATTCTTTATATTCACTTAGATGCAGAATTAGTGTCACCATCCTCGTTCGGTTCATATGGACCAGGAAATGAAGGAAAATCTGATATTGATTCATCAAAGAGTACAATGGCTGAATTAGATGAACTATTTTCGTCGAAACCAGCACAATCAAATTTTGGTGACTTTACAGACGGTTTAGATATATCAAAAAAACCGTTAATCGATCAAATACTAGCACATTATCCAACTAATACAGTTACAAAACCAAAATATAATGAGCCTTCGCCTTCTCTTTCTTCTACTCAACAACAAAAAAGTACTTCACTATTAGATGAACCGATATCATTAACACCAATAAAAGCAGGTTTGTAGCACTCCTGCGCTATGTATCTTTTTTTGTCGAACGCTCATAATGTTTCTTTCTTCTCATATGAACAGGTATACTACGTGTCATGCTTTTCTTATTTAGATTCGTTGCCAAAATCTCAGCAAGCTCCTCCACCTTATCATGAAGTTGTTTCAAATCCTTCAAAGACTAAACCTTTACCATCTACGGGAAAACCATTCGATGATTTACAAGGTTTATTAGACCAAAATTTATTTACACAAGATGGAATGCAACAATGGAAAACAACACCTCAGAAGTACATAGTTTCTTACATCTACATGTTGTCTGTTCAATATGTTCTGCTTATTCTTAGTTTTACTCCATCTGCTCAAGTATCTTCGGGCTCGAAAAGAACACCTCTAAATGAATTAGCCGCTACTAGTAAACAACAATCTCCATTGGCGAGTACTTTAGCTGCATCGACTAATGCTGATTCTTCATTAGTCGATGATATACTACCGTTGACAAATGTTCATGTTCCATTAGAAACAATAAAACCATCCAGTCATTCTCCTCTCACATTACTCGATAAAAGTGAATATGGTCTCAAATGTATTTTACATTTTGCACGTGACTCACCACGTGCAGACATTTTAGTAAGTGTTTTATCAGTGATAAGTACAAATACAACGTATCAAATTAAACAATTCATGTTTCAAGCAGCTGTACCAAAGGTAGGAGTTTAGAAGTAGAATTATTTTGTCTATATCATATTATGTGTATATTCAGACTATGCGTGTTAAATTACAAACTCCATCTGGTTCAGATTTACCTGTGTATAATCCAATATTACCACCAGCTGCCATCACACAAGTGATGTTGATTGCTAACCCAAAAAAAGTAGGTTTTTTTTTCTAGATGACGTTATTTTTGTTTGTAATTAGACATCGGTATTCTCGTTCGAAGAAAAGACATTACTTAGTTTTACATATGTGTTTTTAGGATAAAATTCGTTTACGATATAAAATATCTTATCAGCTTAATGATGATACACATGTTGAATCCGGCGATTTAGATCAATTTCCATCAATTGATTTACTCTAATTTCTTTTTTTTTACATTATTAGTTTTCTATTCTTTTTTTTTTATATTTCAGTTTTGTATCTCTCATTTTCGTAAAGAACTTGTCAAAATCATGCTAAAAAAAATCTAAGAGAGACATGTTTCAATGTATATTTATTATTCTTAACTATTCATTCACTTTTGTTGTTGTCTATTTACATGTTTTCTTTTTTTTAAAATTAAGTATACACATATGCAGACATAGTCATTGTTATTTATTATCAAGAAATAAAAGTATTTTAATGATTTTGTCTATGTTTTTCTTATAATAGTAGATTTGTAGATATCACTGATATATAAAACAAAGGAAAATAATTGCTCTCATAAAGGAAAACTTACTAATAAAACAGTAGGATAAATTAAAAGAATTTGAAAATAATCAATCTCTATGTAGCTTCATACTCATCTAGTGGAGTAGTAGTATACTTTTTCTCTAATTCATTTGTATCTTTGTCAAAGATATAAAATATAATTTTAAAAGAATAATAAATGGTAAAAGTAACGTAGTTCGATAATGTGCATGCGCTAATTGTACTACACTACGAGTAAAAAGACGAAAAAAAGAAAAACGAAAGAAATATAAATAAATACATTATGAATAAGACTAATAAAAGTGTGAATTATTCATTTTGTTTACTTACATTTAATCTCATGTTCACACATTTTATATTTTTGAGATTTGATTTCTATTTTTATTTGCTATTCTGTTTCGGATTTGTTTTTGTAATTATATGACTACGAGACATCTACTAGAAGCTTGTGGAATGTAGAAGATTTTTGAAAAACTTTGACAAGAAACCTGGATTTCGTGCTTAGTTGGTTTTTCTATTTTTTACCAGATTTTTTTCTTCTGTTCTTATCGTACTTTCCTGCATCTTACACAGAGTTGTTTTATTTATGATCTTGTTCACTTCATCTTTTATTACCTTTTTCTTCTATACGAGAGATTATATATATATATATATATATATGCATATTTTTGAAACATAACAAAGGATTCTCTCGTTTTTTTTTCTCTGTCAGCCAAAAAATTTTCTCTTTCTTATTCAAAAATATTTTTCAATTAAATTTCCGTCACTCCTTATTTTTTGTATTGTTGTAAACAAATGAAATAACATATGAAATAATGATGACACAAATACAAAAATAAACAAAAGAGTGAGCGAAGAGAGAAAGATTCATATAAAAAATTTAGAGATATAGATGGAATGACAAATGAGTATGAAAATAGTGATAGACTTCTAAATTAATAATGTCATTGCTTAGACACTTTTCACAGAGACGAAATGATAGTCAATCTCCACAGCAACAACCACAAAGTACTCATCAACAAAATTGGGCAACATCAATAAATAACATAACATGGGTAGGAGACACACACGTGCGTGTTTTATTCATGATCATTAAAAAAAAAAGACATTGTTCGGCTAAAAATAGAAAAATTTTCTTCTACTTTTTATGCTATTCTTTAATTCTTTTTTAATATAGATTGAGCTAACACTGTTTTCTTTAGAGAGAGTATAGAAATAGAAAATAGAGTATAGTTAACAGTAGGAGAAAAGAATGCACGATATTGATTATGATAAATACTGCTTAATTCAACATCTGAGTGTCGTATCATGAAAAAACTTAAGTCTAAGTTTAAGACCGACTTAAATCTTATCACGAAAAGACTTAAGTTGGTGATTTATTTACTTTTTGAAAGTCGCTGACAACAATGACAAACTTGGGACAAAAGTCCGCAAAATAGCGAAATGTTTATTCTCTAAACCTTAGAAAGTCGTTTTCGTCGAATCGTATTGTTAAATGCCTGAGAAATTCCAAAAAATGCTTCAATGGCTTAAGTCTGACTTAAGTTTTCAGTCTTAACTTTAAGACTACATTTCCCATGACTTAAGTCTTTTTGTAATATGGTAAAATTTAAGTCCAATGACTTAAGTTAGTGACGGAGACTTAAGTCCAAATTTTGACTAAAGTTTTTTTATGATACGGTCCCTTGCTTACAGCGACGTTTGTGCACGGTTTCATAGCTGAGAAAATCTATATGTTTTTTTTCTTCTGTATTATCCATATTGTCCACTAGATGTGTAGGAATATTTGATTTGCTTTTTACATGTATTCTACTGAAAAATGTACTCATCTTTTTACTATGAAGTGAAATTATGGTACAACAGTGATGAAGAATCAATAGTTGAGAAAGACAAATTTGAATACGTTTGACGAAGTGAAACTATCCAAAAAAATAGCTAAAAACATTTTTTTTAAAAAATGTTGAAGTTTGATGTTGATAAAAATTGACTGTAGAAAACTAATTTCTCTACGTTTTTTTTGTGATATTTTAGATGAACAAAATTAAACCATTTTTTACACCAAAGTAAAATATTCAATATTCTTCTTGTCTACAAGTAGATTTCATTTGTTTATTTCTTTTTCTAGAGATAGTGATCGTACAGAATATTATAATCGTGTTCGTTATATCCGTGAATCATGTAAAGTATTATCAGAATTATGGAAAACTGAAAAAGATTTTGTATGTATTTTTGTTTTATTTCACAATTCTATATTAGTAAATGATTACTATTTTCTATTTATTTCTATTTAGTTGAGTAAAGGAATCGATTGTGATGTATCAAAAACATTTAAAGATTTTAAAAACAGTGAAGTTGGTCGTAATTATCGATCTCCCTATGGAGATGGTATCAATTCAAATAGTCGTCCATCAATTTTAAATTCGTCAATTGATGACATAATCGTTATACATGATCAAATTGATCTTAAACGAAAAGAATGGTATGAAAAATTAAAACGAATTATCGATCATGCTAAAGAAAAACAAGTAAATGATATTGTTCTTACACATCAAATTGTATTATCTACTATACATTAAGTTTTTAGACAACTATTCGACAAACAATGAATGATTTAAGAGAAAATTATGAAAAAGCACAAAAAAAATTAGAAACAGCAGATAGCAATTTGAAAAAGTAAATTATATTTGAGTAGAAGAGTCTGCAATAGTAGTTGTTATTCTTATTTATTTAGATTTCAAACTCGTGATCGTCTACAATTTTATGATGATAAACAACGTGAATTAGAAGATTCTCGTCTTGAATGTGAAAATACTCGACAATTAGCAAGAGATCAATATCAAACAGAAACATATCGAATTGCTTCGGAAGAAAATGACATTAGTCATATGTATTTTTATGAATATTTAAAATTACAACAAGATTATTATAATTCTATATCGTCTTATTTAAACCAAGAAATTCCTCTTATTCTACAACGAATACATCAAGATGAATTACAGCCAATGTTTAAACGTGATTTAAAAGATCATTTACATCGTACAAAACGACAAATTGCTTATATTATTGAAACATGTGTTAGATTATTGAGTTCAGATAAATATCTTAAAGAAGAGGTATGTAAAAAAAATTATACTTTATAATTTTTTTAATCATTTTTTATTTGTTTAATGTTTTCTAGGGTCTATTTCGTATTGCTGCCAGTCATATTAAACAGAAAAAGTTTTGCTCAGAATTAGATATATATGCTATTAATGATAAACACACATTAGCTGAATTAGGCTATGATGCTCATGTGGCAGCTGGTGCATTAAAACAATATCTTAGAGATTTACCCGATTGTCTAATGACATCAAAATTATTACCACAATGGAATGATATCGCTACAGCCAAGTAAGTTTGAGATATTATCATGAAAATAATGTTTTTAATAACATAGGTAACAGATATACAACCATTTTTCTCATTTTTACTCTTTAGTATTACTGATACTCAACGTTTACAACGTATTAAGGATGTTCTTGGTCAACTTCCAAAACCAAATTATGATAATTTATGGTATGCTTATTCATTCATTTGTTACTAGTAAAAATATGCTTCGATTATTTAGTTATGTGGTTCGATTTCTATCCAGAGTTGAAGAACATTCAAGTGAAAATAAAATGACTGCATCAAATTTAGCCATATGTATCGGATGTAATCTTCTTTATCCGTCCACATCACGATATTCAACATCGTCAATAAATTCTACATCTTCGTCAGTTTCACAACAATTGCCATCAAATTATGCAACAAGTGGAACGATATTAGAATTAATGATTTTAAATCACGAACAATTATTTTCCGGTGGTATGTACAATAACTAAAAAATACTTTTAAATAATGATGTTTAGTGGTATAACATGTACAACGGTTGTTTTTTCTATACTTAGATATTATGTTTCCAACGGTTGAATTCTCTCCTTCTCATTCTTCGTCAACAACAACGAACCATTATGCTAATTTATCTAGTATGACTAGTGGACATCGTACAAATGATCAACAACCTCCTCCAATTCATCGTGAATCCTATCGTCAACAACCGCCAGATGTTGTACCTAATGAACATACTGATCAACATCATATCAATAATCATCATTTTGTACGTTAAGCAACTTCATACTACTCTTTACTGTATACTTAAGATTCTTACTTTTTTCTTTTTAATTTTTAATTTTATTAGAAAAATAGCTCAAAAGAAGATCTATTAGACAATTCACAAGTACAACATCCTAGTGGTTCCACACAGTACGTAAATGAGATTATTTTTAATTATTTTTCATAATAAAATGAAAAATAAAATCCATTTTTAATTTTTTGTTGCATCTTCATTCTTATAAAAATTAAAAATGTTAAATTCTTCTTGTAGACTGCGTCGGTGAGTTAAAATTTCTATCTATCTATCTTTTAGCTATCTGTATTGATAGAAATATATATATTTTTCTAACAAGTCTTCTGTTCAGTTTCATAACTACAATCTTATTGTTGGGCTAGTTTTTGATACTAAATACAATTTTCTGTAGTTAATATGTATCTCCACTATCGTATCATTCATTATTATCATAGTCTCACATTTAGACCAACAAGTGTTATTCCGATCATTAGGGAAACTGAAGAGTTAGTACATCAGAATGCTGCTCAAGATTTTAAAAATGACTTTTTTTTGCAAAAAAATATATTAAAATAAAATATTGACAATAATTGAGAAAGATTGTCGATAGCTTTTCTTATGAGAATTAACTATCTCGATATTATTCAGTTAGAAATAATCCCTACTAACAGTAAAAAGTAATATATATCATGGTATCAATGGTTGCTTTTATTACTGATTACTAACTAATCTAGTTTCTTTTTTTTAACTTGCTGCTTCTTTATGTTAACTTCTATAACTGATAAACTTAACACAAAAATACTTTTTGTTTAGGTCACCAAGTACAAGAGGAAAGAAACCAGCTCCAGGTCCACCTCCAATACCAGTAACTGGTAAATAATAGTTACTCAAGTTTCATTGTAACTAATAACAACTACGAGAAAGAATTGGAATATTAGAACGCATTTAGACTCTTTTTTCAAGTTTAAAGATATTAGAGACTTCTCTTTCTTTGAGCAAATTCAATAAGTTTGATCTTTTGTTTTTCTTTTTAGTTCAACCTCCAACATTGAATGTTAATGATAAAACACATCGTCGTTCAGCCAGCGGAAGTTTACTCGATCGGCCTCAAGCACCGCCTCCTGCTCCACCTCCTGTAACCACAACGCCGATTCAACCATTCAAATCATCAGCTAAATCTTCCTCAACTGAGGCGTCTTTTCCTTTACCAGCTACCGTGGGACAACATGATTCCGTAAATCCATCAACGATTCTCGCAACGGATGACGAACTCACACCTACACTGACACCTCGCCATTCTAGTGAAGATTATTTTTCACCTTCGACAGTACACTATCCGGATTTATCCACATTAGATATAGGAACAGCTAAAGTTTTACCTTATCCAACAACTGTACTAATGCCTCAAGGACCACCTACCGAACAGTTACCATATACCCAACGTTTACAAGGTAGCTACTCTTTGATGAGATAATGATATAAACGTATCGACGATGATGTCTCGTTACTGTTTGAAATTAGAAATTTCTTTTATTAATTAAGAATAGGAAGTAGCAGTAGTATTGACAACTTCGATAGTGAACTACTTTCTTGTAAAATACTCTTTATATCACATTTTTTTAAAATTCGTTTTAGGATCGTCACCATTTTCAAGATCATCAAATTTTTCATCATCCTCTTCAACAACATCGGATAGTTCTGCCGATAATTCACATTGTGATGAACCAATAATTGAACCACGAACTGCTTCTGTCACTATGTTGCCTCCACTTCCATCAAACACTGTACCAGTTACAACTGCAGCTTCCGTGAGCGTTAGTAAATTAATATCACAATTAAATAATCGAGCTAGTGTAAAAAAAAGTCCAGTAAATAACAGGTAAGACATATAATTACACTTGAATATCGAACATATACTTTAATTGAAAACAAGTTGACTATATTTCGTTTTTAAAAGACAAAAGAGTTCTCATAAGTTTCATATGGCCAGTCTTAGTTACATTTAGAAACATTAGATATTTTGTTTGACTTAGAAACAAAACAAAAACATCACATCATTGAGATTGATTTTGAATGATGATGATGAAAAGTCTTTTTATGTAAATTTTAAGAAAAAAAACTAAAAATTATATTGCGCACGGACTATTATTATAGGAAAGAAAAGACTCCATGCAATTGAACCAGATAAGCGTAAGTAATACGACATAAATTTATGAATGACCATAGAACATACAGCTGCCCCTAGTTTATTAAATGTGCTGCAAAAAGTTGATCTGATTAAGCCCCCGCCCCTCCATCAGAAACCTATCTCTAAAACTATAAGTCCGATGTTGATCAAAATTTCAGGAGATGCTGATCTTGTGAAAGTATGGTGACGAAATTTTTTTTGGCTTCATCGTGCATGATTTTGCGAGATGTCGTGACTAGTGACTAAAATGGGGCTGTTCGTAGCTCTCTCAATTCGAAAAACTCTCATTAACTTTGGTAAAGATGTTCATCTAATCACAAATCTAGAGCGAATATCAAAAATTGGGCTCTATTAGGCTCTAGCTGCATATGTCAGCTTCAATTTAAGACCTTCCTGAGCTCTCTGCGATGTTGCGTTACCGAGAAATCTGGGAGCTACGAAATGGTGTTAAAGTGAAACTCACTTTCGAAATATAACAGCGCCAGTATCTGATACAAGTTTTAGGGCTTCCAGCAAAACTCTCATAACTCTTGATCAGAATATCATACAGAGCTGGGAGACATCTCATTTTGTCTCATCGGAATCTTTGCTCTATTTTCTGGTGCTGTTGAAAAGTAATTTTTGATTTGTTTTTTAATCGGAAAGTCAAACGTTTTCGAAAAGCCAGCTTTTCAAGGTTTTCAGAAAACTTTTCTAAAAATCTCCATACCCCTTCGATGAGGACGAAACAACATTGGATTCTGTTAGTAGATACTGTGGGCTATCGGATGATATGTTTACCTCAACATCGACTTTTTATGAAAAAAATTATGTTTCTGACGCGGGGGGGGTGGGGGGACCTTAACGATTTTATTTGCTCTTAACTGCTACTAAAACATATGCTCTATTCCTTTATTGTTGTATTTAATCGTTAAATAAATTTTTTCATTATATCTCATTTTAGTCCACGTCCAATTCGTCCACCTCGTCCTCATACAGTTGGCAATTATTCAGATTTATCTTCAGGTGATATTCATCCACCTCAACAACAACCACTCGAAACATTATCATCACCAAATCAAGGAGAAATAACTGAATTTTAATATAAAAATAATATTCTATATATTGAACCGGTGCTATTAAAGCCAGTATTATCATTCCAAGGAAAACTTGGCAATTCAAAGCATAAACTATTTTCCTTTTTGGTTATTTATTCAACGAATTTCAGTCAAAAAAATAAATAAAAAAACATATTTCTCGTGTTTTTTTTTAATCGAATATTTATGTGTCTTGTTGTCTTTCAGTAATAGAAATGCTTACATTAATTCTTAAGATATGTTTTCTGTTTATCTAGATGATCATATAACATTTTTTTGAAATGATCATTTTATTTACACTCTCTACACATTTACTTTCTATTGAAAATTGTTTATGTTTAACGTCAGTTATAAACGTTAACGTTTAGTCTGTTTTAGGGTTATCTTATTTCTAACAGTGAATAATTTAACGGAGCAAATTTGCTAAATAATATGTCAGAATAATTAATAATTCTCGCTCTAAGTTATTATTTTGTTTTTGTTTTTTTTCATTAATCTAGAACTGCTGTTACTTTCTATTTTTTGATTTCATATGGATTGTAAATAAATTGAGTTAGAATGTTAATATTTAGTTATAGAATGTTTATTCATAAAGAAAGATAAACTATGAAATTAATTTTTATTGTGTTCTCTGTTTGTTTTTCTGCACTATTCATTCATTTGTTTATTAATACCGTATATATTTGTCCACTATTATTTCCTTGAATATGTTTGTTGCGTTGGTTTTTTTACCATTTAAATTGTCAGAAAAAAACATTCTCTCATTGATGCGCGTTTGCGTGTGTACACTTTTCTACTCTCGTTAGTTTACACTATTATTAAAATAAAATTAAAATCTCAGAATTTAGATGTACAATTGAAAGGTTCATATTCATCCAATGAGTAAAATATATACGATAGGGTGGCAAATAATGGGAGAGTGTCAGAGAATGCGCGCAAATTTGTTTTATATTTTCCTGATGTTTGGCTGTCCTGTGCATACAAATGTTTTCGAACTGACAATTTAAAGTGCTGCTTACAACGTATATGTTTCTTATATTTCTGTGTTTTTTACGCATATGATATACATTAATTGTAGAATATATGGTAGAAAGGATGACCCTTAGTTTCTCACTCTTATCCTCCTGTGTATGTTTGAATAGTGAGGGCTCGTTTTTAATGAATCTCTCAAACGATACGATAGTTAACCTTCAAACTTTGTATAAGACATTGCAGAGTATTTGATGCAATTCTGAAATGGTAAAAATATTCCTAGAATGAGTTATGAAGTTTGTTCGGGATGAACCTCATAGCTCAAAAGTAACTCTCGTTCACTAAACTACTGCATTTCAGTGACGACTGAGAGTCGATAAACAATGTATACCATAGATAGAAGAGAGCTAGGGTCACATTTTGGTAAGGTATAAATATTTTTTACCTCCTTGGGTAATGAAAGATGTTGTGATTAGACCTGTGCGCCGATCGGAAAATTGGCGGCGGCGTGTAACAAAAGTTTTGCGCCCAGCGTCGGCGGTGGAGCCTCATTAAACGATTTTCCAGTTTCGGCAGTGGCGGCTAAATAAAAATGTTCAATCGGCGGCGGCTAAAAGATTATTTAAAGCTTTGGATTGTCAGCGGAGGGGCGCAACCAAATCTGAATACGAAACTTAGCTTAAGCTTAGATCCATTGTCAATTTCATCAAATTTTTTATTTTAAAAATGTCCACTTTTTTATATCAGTTGAGATTCTATCATAATCTTATTCGAGGTTGCTAGAAACATATCACACCACTTAGTTTCATGAACTTTAATATGAAGTTTTCGATGACTGAAGTTAGGCCTGTTACAATGTGAGACCATGCACAGTGTGCATTTTTCCATATGCCAGGCGGTCATTTGCTACAGAAGCAATCCGAAAGCCTACAAACACTTTTTTCATAGGTTTTCAGATATTTTCTTTCAAATGGTATGCTTTACAAAGTTCAAAGAAATTTTCATCCGAGTTCTCCAGAAAACCTACACATAAGTATCCTGGAACGTTATAAAGCATATTATTGGAAAGAGCATATCTGAAAACCTATGAAAAAGTGTTTGCAGGCTTTCGGATTGCTTCTATAGCAAATATCAAAATCCTTAGCCAAAATTGTCACGCTATGCTTCGACTTTAGCGTTTCGTTAGATCCAACAAAGTTTTTTCTCAGAAAAACCTACTAATCACGCATCATTCGTGGCAGTTTCTTGCGCTGATTCCAAATACGGTCTTTTTATCGAATTTTGAATGATTCTAGCTTGAAAAAAATAGAAATTACTTTAAAAACCGAGAGTTTTTTGGAAAACCTACCATCCGATCCAGGAGCGTCGGCACTAATTGGCGCTAACTGTGTGGACATATCATATATAGGACAACATTCCCTAAAAATTTCATCAAGATTAAAGCTTCGCTAAAGTTCGCGCATGCATTGTATCAAACACACCTCCTCGGAAAATACGCTAGAAAAATGTCTTCTCTTTTTCTCCAATTTAGAAAATCCAAAAATAGAAATTTTTTTACCAATCGATAGCGCACTTCATGCCGATTCTGAATATATATTTGTTTATCTAATAGCTATGTTTAATTTTTGCGTATATTTGCGAATAATCCGATTTTCCGATGGGCACGTATTTTTTGTGTATTCTTGTATATAGGATTTTCCCAGCTTAAATAAGTTCTAGGACAAAACTCTTTTTGCCATTAAATAGAGCATGTTTCAAAGTATATTTATCACCATTAAAATCACTGAAAAATCAATTTTCATTTTTCCACCAAAAGCCGGCCTGGATGCACACTATGCCATGTTAAAGTATTTGCATTTCGAAAGAATGCAATAAACATTTGTACTTTTGAAGTAGTATCAATAATAGTTTGACGTCGCGTAGGTATTGACTGATCAATGTCTTCGTATTTAATAAATAAAAGATGTCTGCTGTACTGTTTTTCTGAGGTGGGTTCTATGAGAGGAAATATAGAGCATGAATTCTACACACGATCAAAAACCCCTAGTATTCCACCGTTTTGTCCAAAGAGTTTCGAGATAAATCGAATTTAATGTTTTTTAGCAACCAATAAATGTGGAATATGTTTGTATTGGGAGCAAAAAGTGTAAAGAAATAATTTTTACATTATGAATGCTTAGAATTTAGTTTAAATAATTTAATAACTTATTTTAAAATGCATCGAACATTAGTCTACAGAACCTTGATTTATCTGTGTAAGTATTAAAAGAATATTTTTGAATTTATTCAAACTAAGAATCTCAGATCATGCAAAATTATTTGCATTCTTCCCTAAGAATGCAAATGTTTCGACACTTGCATTCTAAGCTTGGTATTTATATAGTAATAGACCTAACTGAGGTCCCATGCATGATTTCTGAATTTTTTTTCTTCGATTTTCATAAAAGCCGGTGAGTTGAATATGAATCTCATGATGATTGCGAAGCTCATCTTTAAAATTTAAAAGAATTCAATTTTCGTTTAGAATAGTAAATTTTGCTATCAGGAAACACTGCCTTCTGTGTTTTACTTTTTAAGTTATAATCAGTACAAAAAAAAATTTGACCCACAGAAAATTTGGTGTAAGAGAGCTGTTATTGATACGGCTGCAAGAAACCAGAGAAGTAATTTTTTTATGGCTCATTGAAAACTTGTTCAATAGTTCTTAAAATCTGTTTCTAGAAGTGACTTGAGCAAATTTTAAACTTGCCGAGTCTGAATTCGTTCACGATAGAGATTAGAGAAGATTTTCGAGAGATTCGTTTTTTAGTCATCCACTTGAAAAAGGATGGACAACATGTTGGTTAGCATCAAAAATAGCCTATTATCGAGTAGGTATCCAGAAACAATCTGTCTAGTTAGTTGTAACGTCACCTGATTCTGACAATTTCACGTAAACGGTAGCGTTGATATCGACTGTCAGTATTCGAACCCATCATGAACACTTGGCTTGGAAACGTAATTCTGCTACAGGAATAAAATTTTGTCATTTTTCTAACGTCGTGACCACAAGAAATTCTTAACCACCTGTCAACTGTTCCAGCAGTCACATTTCCTTTCGATAACAGCATTTGGTCGTCAAGCATGTGGAACAAAGAATTATCGAGCATACTGCTCGCTTTCTTGCTTTCCTTCGGACATTTGGTTGCTATTATTTGACTTGTTATAAACAAAAACAAACAAGAATCAAACTAAACCTTGTCAGAATGCAGCAAAGAGCTTTTATATTCTTGTTTATGATATAGTGTGGAACTGTATCGCTTATTTAAAGTACTTCACTTTTGAGAACGTCCAAATTCTGATGTTGCTGATCGCTTTTTGGTGCTAGTGATGTTCTGTTAATCTGACTGCTTAGCCGATGATGTCTACGAAACAAGGGAAAAAGTCTTTTTCTTCTGGAATTCTGATTATTACTTAATGGTGGCCACGTGTATTGCGGAGTATCAGGATGAATTGATGTTGGAGTATTTGTTGCTACTTCGTTACTCGTTATTATTTCTATTGCCCACGACTCACCGTGTGCCACACGATCCATACCGACAACTTGATCTTTAATATCAAGTTTTATCCCAAATAGAAGATGCATTGGTAGCAGTATACCAGCTGTACACGCTGCCGAAAATACGGTACCGGTAAGGATCCCTGCAAGTTGAAGCCACATTTGACGAGGATTACCATAGAATGCGCCGTTGTACCCACCCGAATTTAATTCCGCCTGACAAAATAAACCTGTCATAAATCCACCTACTATTCCGCCTATCCCATGACATGAGAAAGTGTCTAAAGTATCATCAAAATACAGAAAACGTTTTTTCACTTTTAACGCACAATAAACGCACACTGCGCCGATAACACCCATTAATAAAGCCCATCCAGGTTGAACGTAGCCTGCAGCTGGAGTAATCGTTACTAAACCAACAACAATGGCTGAACACGCCCCAGATATGGATACGGTTCCTCTTACTGCATCAATAATCACCCATGTCATGAGACTCGAAGCTGCAGCCGTATTCGTATTCACCATTGCTAAAGCAGCTACACCTGCAACAAAGTACGAAAAAGGTCATCATGTAATTTATTGGTATATAGAGTCGAACATGAGTAGAAGAGAACTATAGCTAAGTTTTATTAGTTTGTTATTGTTCTATAGGCGACGTACCGTTAGCTGCCAGTGACGAGCCACCATTAAATCCTATCCATCCGATCCAAAGAAGACCCGTTCCTAATACTGTGAATGGCAAGTTGTGTGGAATATCAATTTTTTTTGGATCGTAATCATGACGTTTTCCTAACACTAATGATGCTACTAAACCTGACACTCCACTTGAAATGTGTACAACAGTTCCACCCGCAAAGTCCAGTGTGCCATATGTGTGTAACCATCCACCACTGAAAAAGATCCATCTAGCCAATGGATCATAACAACATGTTGTCCACAAGAAGATAAATATCAAATACGGCACCAGTTTCATTCTTCCAACGATTGCGCCGCTGATGAGTGCAGGTGTAATGACCGCGAATGCAGCTTCGTACGCTGTAAATGTTAGTAGTGAAAATGTCGGTGAATTTATCGGATCACCATTCGAACCGTATAAATCTGTTTGATCTGGAAAACGTAGTGCACCATAATTAAATGAACCGAAAGCATTATTGCCAGGTCCAAAAGTAAATGAGAATCCGAACAGACACCACTGAGTTGTCACTATACCCATACAGATAATAGACAAAAATAATTGATTCAGGATATTTTTAATATCAACAAGTCCACCGTAGAAAAAGGCTAAAGCAGGTGTCATCATATAAACCAAGGCAGTAGAAGTCATCATCTAAATAAAAATAAATAAATATGGACGTGTTTGAATCAGTCTAAAATGAAACACAGTGATGAACATCTGTGTTTCATCTTGAAGTGGCTATATACACTCTCTCTATATTATCAATCGTCCAAAACTTGAAAGGATATATTCTGTGCGCTGGAATTCTATATAATTAATTCATTTACCTCAAAAAATTTGAATTTTTAACACATTTGAACGTATTTAAATCAATCTAGATATTCTATTTTGAACTATTCCTTTCAAAAGGAGACAAAAACGCGTTTAATTATCCAAAAAATGTTTACATTTAAGTTATATTAAACATTAGTTAAAGTTGTAACAGACAGTAATTCATACCAAAATATACAATGAGTAATTATAAGATTATTTTTTAACAGTCAATTTTATTTCAAGAACGATTCACTTTAAAATTGATCTTCATTCTTCTAACAGGTAAGTTCTCTCAGATTCTGACGATACTTCGTTGATCAATAATTGAAAATCAGGTTAATCTATGATTGATATCAACTGTTTGAAACTTACCCACGCATTATCGCCGTCCAAAACTGTTGTACTATTAGACATATTTATATTCTTCTTACTAAAATAAGAATGAGATTAAACTTTTTTGGATTATATTGTTTGATTTGTACAACGTTTGTACTATTAATATTTTTTAATTCCAGTTAAAAACATGATTTTAAGCTTTCATTATTAATTGTCATTATGAAAATAAAAAATCTAATTTTTTTTTTTATTAAATATAGTTAACATTTTTACCTTACCTTGACAAGTTGATGAATATAAAATATCTGAGAGAAATATTTTTTTTGATACAGTGAAATAAATAACAAGAGAGAGAAAGTTTGCAAAATATTTCATACAGTAGTTGCTAGAGTTGTATTGCCACTACTTCCCATGTTTATACACATACATAGAGTTCAGTTTTCTTATTCATTTTATTTCTTTTTCTTCATATGAATCGAAAAAGAATTTTTCTTTGCAGGTTTAATATAGAAGTACAGGTAATAACATGTTTACAATAAAAGAAAAACTATATTTTCGAATAGAATATCAAAAAAAAAAAAAAAGAAAGATTGTGAAGAACTATAAACGTAAAAAAGAAACAATTTTTAAATTCCGTTTGACAATATTCACATAAAAATAATAATCTTAAAATTCGTTTTTGATCCTGAGTTCTCAAATAGAAAGAGTATACCTTGCCGTTGACATTTTTACAATACTAAATATTCTCCTATCTTTCGAGCGACTTTTTAACCTGATTAATCGATTGAAGTGAAATTTACAGAAAATGATATGAAATAGCCCATGTTAGAAGTTCATTGGCGAAATGTTGAGTTGTTTAAAAGTTATTAATATCGTACCAGTCCAAATGGTGTTATCAATATGATAACACATTTCTCTAATGACTAAAATTGATTTTCGACTTTTGACTTCGTTATTTTTTTTTGACACGCTCTTGAATTTGAAATTTGCAAAAAGGATTAAAATGAGAATAAATTATAGAAAGAATTAGAGGAATAAAATCATAATTTAAAAAGTTCTTCAGTTATTTTGTGTGAAAAACTGTTTTGACTGTAAAATAACAAGAAATTTGTTTAACTGCGCTAAATCGTTTCGGACATAGTGCATCTTATGGAACGCCAAAGTTGATAACGAGAAAATAGAGTGTATACTCACAGCTATATTGTGTCTTATTTTTAAATAGACGAATCCTCTAGTAAATTTTTTGTTTGGATTTTGACTCATGAAATGTCTTATGAGGAAACCTATCCAAGTGATATCTTTCGATTTCGTTTGTTCATTCGTCGATCGATAGAGGATATCGAGTTAGTAAAAAGCCTAAAGGAATTTTTTACCATAATTCTTGAAGACCCGATTTTCTGGAAAACCAGTTTTTCAGAAACTCTAGATTAAAATGAGACATCTCCCACTTCTATACGACCTTTGTTTGCAAAGTTATAGAATTTACAAGAAAAGCCCTAAATGTTCATTATTAACTCAAAGATACAGAAATAAGAAATTAATTTAGAGCTTTTCTTGTAAATTGTATAACTTTGTAAAAAAAAGGTCATGTAGAGCTGGGAGATGTCTCACTTTAATCAGAAATTTGCAGACTACAATTATGCCTCGTTAAGAAAGATTTTGGTTATTTTCTAGAGTTTCTGAAAGACTGATTCTTCAGAAAACCGAATCTTTAAGAATCATGGGAAAAAATCCTTTTAGGCTTTTTACTAGCTTGATATCCTCTATCGATCGACGTGTGAACGAACGAAATCGGAAGGTATCACTTGGATAGGTTTCCTCTCTAATTCCTAATTTTTTCTTGTTTCTTTCATAGCATCTTCTCAGGTACTCGAAAACTAACAGTTAATAACTCATGTATAGCCTGTCAACTGTATGACCAAAGAATTGACTTTTAATGGGATAAGATAACTGTTAAAATTATTAGGCATTTAAGTGTATGCACTTAAAACTAAAAATTATGTTGATCATAATGTACCTGATAGTATGCTGTTCTGGAACAGATAAAATTCAAGCAAAAATCAGCATTTAACGTTGGCAGTCGAGTGTCGGCTTTTAACTAGTTATTCACAAATCATTTATTCTTTTGATGTGCTATTTATAACTAATATAACGATGATGCTGAATCTTTTGAGAAAGTTTTGAAAACAAAAAATAAAAAATAAATAATTTAGTTTATATCACTTTACTAATTTATTTTTATTTCTAAAACTTCTTCACCCTCAAAATATGATAGACTACATGATTATCTATATGGAAATATTGCGGGGTTGTATGATGTGAACATGCGTGGAAAGGTTTTTACAAAATCTTCTGTTGCCGCCAGAAAAATATATAATCTCATTTTTATTTGGATAAATTTGAGCTTTCGAATCAAACAGTCATCATCAGAAATAAAATAAATATATGATCATTTGATAATCTTGTAAGATTATCAAATAGCGTCTTAGATCAAGAATCGTGATGAATCTTACAGTAAGAAATTCCTATACAATTTTCAAGAAAAATAACAAAACGCCTTTAGGGCCTTTCGTAAACTGAGTGTACTTTAATGACAAAAAGGTCGTAGAGACCTTGTATTGTTTTCTGCTTTTGTCATGGTTTAAAATGCAATGAAGAAAATCGACGATCTCTGTCACATTTCGATAAAAAGTTATTGAAAAAAGTGTATGAGGTACTTTATTTTCAAATGTTTATTTATTCTTATAAAAAGATATAATTTCTTTTGCTTTTACTATAGTGAATGATTAACATTATGCTTCCTGCTGTATTGCAGATTGAAAACATACATGAGCAACAAAAATCATCATATATTAGAAAACAGAGGAGATCGGAGCAGCTTTTTTCGTGCAAACAAAATTCAAAACCTTTTTCAAGTATAAAGTTGAGAACACAAGTTTACAGCGCTTCTATCTTCGACTTTTTTCAGCCACGGTAATAGCTGGAATCAATCTAAAAAACGATTTGAGTATCAGAAAGAGTTGTCTATCAAGAGGGGTACATGCGCAAGCTCCATCAAAATTTATGGACATAGAGTTCTCTGGAAAGTGAAGATTCCCACTATCAGGTCTCTGGATTTGATCGAAAATGCTTTCTAAATAACCTATTCTTATAGAGAAAGTATTTCTGAACAAAATGAGGCGTTTGCGAGGTCTCGCCGACCTTTTCTCATTAAAGTGCACGGACTCAATTTACTAAAGACCTTGAAGTGTTAAGCGCACCAAAATTGTCGAAATTTTCAAGAAAAATAATAAAATGCCTTTGGAACCTTTCGTAAACTGAGTGCATTTTAATGACAAAAAGATCATAGAGACCTCGCAGACGTCTGATTTTGCTCAGAAATACTTTCTCTGTAAGAATAGATTATTTAGGAAACATTTTCGATCAAATTCAGAGACCTGATAGTGGGGATCTTCCAGCTATTACCGTCGATGAAAAAAGTGGAAGATAGAAGCACTCTAAACTTATGTTCTCAACTTTATATTTAAAAAGAGTTTGAATTTTGTTTGCATGAAAAAGGCTGCTCCGATCTTCTCTATTTTCGAATAGATCATGGTATTTGTTGACAGTAGAAGCAATAAATTTTTAGTACTTTCTAAGAGAAACTTCAGCTTAATTTCTTGGTATAAACTACAATTAGATCTAAATATGTGAATAAGTTCTTTTATAGTGAACACTAGTAGGTTTATTTATGATCAAATAAACTCTTTAGCATATGAAAATGTCAAGGACTTTTCTATTCTTAGCAAGTGAATGCCCTATTTTGTTCTGTTATTTTCGCTCTTTTGAGTAACAACATAATTCCTTTTATGCGAAAAGAACAGATAACGACAAACAAAAATCACGGCAATGTTCTGTTATTAATAAATTTTAGTCACATCTTTCAAAACGTTCTAAGCCAAGAGCAAAACACTAGCAAAATCCAAAATTTGGATTGTAAACATTTCATCTGTATGAAAAACCCAAAAATATTTTTTACACCTTCTATTTATTGAATTAAAGTATACTCACAGTCAGTGAAATGAAAGTTTAAACAAGAACTTTTCTTTTCTCTCGTGCACTGGACGATATGACACAAAAATGCATGCAACAACATTGAAAAAAGACTTCAATTAACAAAAAATTTTCTCCTAGTTGTAGTAAAATAGCTCGGATATGACTTTAATCAAAACGTCATAGAATTTTACAAAAGTTACTTTTGTTAATTGAAAGTGAGATTCAATACTTTACGAGAAATTTTCAAACTAATATTATTTTTCCATGAAAATTTTATGCCATTTTGTTTCAAAATTTTTCCTAAACTTTTGAAAGTACCTCTCGCTACAAATAGAAAATCTTCTGGGTTATCGAATGTGCTGAATACGAAAAAGCACTTTTCAGCAAGTCAGAACCAACTTTATCTTTTTTGTTCCGGTGATATGCCATAGATGTGCCTCTCGATCTCTTCTATTCAATGAAAGAAA